CTGTCCTCAGCGCCTTTATTTGTCGTACAGAATGCTGATCGTCACCCGCATCGAACACCGTTCTTTTCTAAGCTTCTGAAACTTGGTTTTTTTGGAAAATACTAATTTTCTTTCCCTTAACAGTTTTTTTTTTTTGCTATGTTTCGGCATATGCCTTGATTGAAATTTTAATTCTTTTCTCTGATATTGTTCCAATTATGTTAAGACACTGAATAAATATATACATAATTCTTTTTGAGCTTGTTTTATCATAATTATTATTTACCATTAAATAATTTTATAGTTGTCTTTCAAAACCTCTTTGCTTTATTTTTTTTATCAAAAAGTCTTTCATAAATTTAGCATTTCCTCACTCATTCGTTGTTTTTCCCCCTTCTTTGTTTGTAATATTTTTTTCACTTCTGTTAGTAATGAACATTTAATGTTCATATCATTAACTTTGCATCATTCTTTGGAGTGGATAAATAACTATTGAAATATAAAAACGACTTGTTTAATTCACAAAAATAAATGTAGTAGAAGCTAAATTTCGCTAAACAGACGGTTGATAAATAATACGATGGCTTCTACCATATCTGCTCTAATAATTTTCGTGTTCTGCGCTTCACCCCGATACTGCTCTGAAACAGAGCCATTGTGTTGGAGCCAAACAGCACGAAGGTTTTCCGTGAGGGACAGTTTCAATGTGAAACTATTTACAGCTCCAATATAATGAAATAAAAATAATCATATTCAGCAACCTCTCAGAACGGTTTCTTGTTCGAACAGCAGCAGTTCACTGCCATCGCAAGATCGTCAACTCTTGGTTTCGACGCTGAGCATAAAGGTTTTGATTGTTTGAGGCGGAATTAAAGCATCCTTTCTCCTCCCTGATGAGTAAAACAAGAAATATATCACTAGGTCCGAAAGTAACTGACCATTATCTTGTCGTTTTGAAGCACTTTGTATGAAGTTTTTTTGTTCGGAATGCTTGAACAGTATCGTATTCAAAGAGGAAACAACCGAACTATTAAGGGCTTGCTTACGTTTGGAAATAGAACTCTTTGTTTGCGCTTTACCGTAATTCTATCGTAGTTAACGCTACACCATTAGTACCCATTTTGCAAAAATATCTTGACGAGCTCTTCAAGTTGTGGTACTGCTACCTTGCCCTTTACTGTACGTTATTAACAATAGAAACCCCACTGAAATACCAAACAACTACAAAGTGAATATGTCCAGGTCCTCACTTGCCTTTTTCCCCGTTTGTCACTTCACAGAGTTTCAAAGGATGTGCTCTTTTTGCACTTGGATTTATTGATTGGGCTTCTTAAGAAAAGCTAAAAACATTTTGAACTTCTTTCCTCTACAAATTCATGCTTTTGTTATGCAAGCGCAAGAGACAAATTCTACTGACCTTAACAGCAATTGAAAGTTACAGCAGAAAAAACCACCAAACAGCCAACAGAGGAATAGCAGTTTTAAATACTCTTCAAACTTCTAGACTTCTTAAGAAGACAAAAGATTAAAAGTTACTTCTGGCTAAAATTAGCCACCGCCAGTAACCACTGAAAGTAGAAAAGGATGTTTGCGCTGTATTAAAAAACAGACACATCGCCGTCAAATAAATGTTTTCCCAAAGCAGTACTAGACGTTTAGGACAAGAAAAATCTCAGTTACTTTGAGTAATTGTGTGCAGCAGTAAAGATGTTAAAAAAGTTTGAACTAAAAAACACACGGTCATTTTCTTCCATATTCTCAAAAAGAAATTTGGACAAAAACAGCCACTGCAAACAGTCCACAAATCCCAGATTTGAAGATACCAACTGTTTTCCTGTAATTTCTGGAGACTGCAAACAAGTCCCCCTTTCTAGTAAAACGCCTCCTTAAAGACCTTAGCTAATCTTTACAATGCTCTACCTAGCAACTCCAAACAAGTAACACATGATTGATTTTCCTGACGCACTAGTACTCTACCTGTACGAAAGCCAACTCCTTTAGCTCAGATAATCTAGCACTAAATCCAACTATTTAAAACATAAAAACCAATAAGCAATCTCGCCAACCAGAAAAACGACCTTCCACTAACACTACACCCAACCTTCGCCTTTTAACATAGCGCATAATAAAGCCTGATATTTCCATTAGAAAAAATTAATTTCACACAACAGCGAATAAATCACACATTTTCAACGAAGACCGATGCGACTCACTAAAAAAAGGAAAAAAACTAAGAAATACATGAAGGATTGACTGCCAACGTTTCAGCTCCAGTATATCCAACACTAAAGTGTAGGATACACAGATCTCGCAGAGAAGAGAGAAAGCCTGATACAGCAATTGTACAAAAAAATTACAACTTTATTGGACCTATAAAGCGGTAACCTAAAAAGTCCTCCGACAAGAAATAACTTCAGTTAGTTACAAGTGACTAAAAAACTTCCCGAGCTTTTATAAAGAAACAATCTTAATTAAGCACGGAAAACAGATTCTTTTAAAGTCCAATATTCTACAGTCTTATTTACAATAATACATACAGCTGGCAAACACACAAATTTTTTCGTCAGAGCAAATTTTCAAAGAAGAGCGTCTAGACAACCGAAATAATCACTTTTAAAAGAAAAAAAAAAGGGATGAGAGTACATCAGCAATTAACCTATCGTTCCTTTTCGTTTTAAAGCAATAATCAAATAGTAACGCAGGGTTCAGATACAGCTTGCAACGATAAACTTTTGAAGTTCAATTTATATGAAAGTGACCTGCTAGTGACCATAAAGACGACTGCCAAGAGCAAAGAAAGACCAAAAAGCACCGGTACGTGCAACAGAAAATGATCTTTTGAAGTTAAACAACAGACAATTTTCAAGAGAACTGAGAGGACTCTTTCTGATACACTACCACACGTGTAGAAACACAACAGACAGAGACCAAGCACTTCCTTCAAAACTATGAGACAACCTTTATGCTCAGTCCGCTATCGAACTAAAAGAAAAGTAAGGAAGGAACAAATTTTCTCTATTTACAAACGTACCTCTGGGCCACACATACTCTTCCCCCATATGTTCCGCTATCTCAAAAAGAGGATAAAGCGACGAACTGATAAGTTCCTTAAAATCTCCTACCGTCTTCGTTCTGCTGTTTATCGTTGTAAAACTATTTATTTCCTTCAAAGAAGTCCACATGAAAAATTACCACTGTAGCTATACCAAAATACTTTACGAATTAAAAAAATTTGTAGGTACTGTTGTATCCAGAAATGTAGTATAAAGCTTTTGTCTAAGATAGCAATCCTAGTGAGAAAAATCTGCCACAAATTTCAAATATGAAAAAATGCATCAATTTATTTCATGCCTTACCATTATATCTTTCCATAAGTCGTTGACGGTTAACCTTCTGCTTTTCATTTTACCAACATATTGTAGTAACTTCAGTATTTCCAAACGATGCTGTTCGGGCCTCTTACTCACTACATCGTCCAGTACTATGTAAAGATGTGGTCGTGAATACACGAATTTCTTGAGGTGAGAAAATAAGGCAAAACAGGACCTAACAGAATAACCAAACCATTAACCCGTAAACAGAAAAGCAAAAGAGTAATGAGACTTAAAAAGGAGACAAAATTCAAATGAACAAATCAAGAAGAAGAACAGAAAGATACCCCTCAATAACACGTCTAAACAACTCTGAACAAGAAATTTGGTCGTTGCCAACTATTTCATCCACCTCTTTGATACGATTTAGCTCGTTTTTTAAGATACTCTCGTAAAAATCTTTTTCTGATTCAAAGTCTCTTTCCTGTCTTACAAAACCATTTACGTCTGGAAACATCGGAAGCATTATGTCTGGAATTAACCGGCCATAAATGGAGATAAATCTAGAAAACAAGCGGACTTACTAACTCACTTTGATCATATGCTGGCTCTCTAACAGCACCGCTCAGATTCGAACAATTGTTCCTCGTTATAGAATACGCAGCCCACGGCTGGTTTGAATTATAAGTACGATATGCGCACAATTTCACCTGAAAAACCTTGACTCAATCTGCAAAAACAACTTCCAATGGCGAATCTAACAGCACCAGTGAAGAAAGAGTAAAACCGAAAAGTAGATATAAATTTTAAAAAATTGAGCAAAAACCTCAGTCCCCTCCGGAAACCCCGAAACAAGTTTTCTTGTGGCATTCACTCGCTGTCCCTTCCATTTTCCTTTTGTAACTATAATTTCAACGGCATCTTCGTCCTGCTGAGCACGTGACACCTGACCCACAGCAGCCAAAATTAAGCTTCTGTCGCACCTTAAATTCAACTTTACGATTAACATTAAAAAATAAAAACAGGAAATAATATTCGGTAAAGCATTACCTAACTTTGTTCTTAGCATAAAGCGGAAGTGAGCAGCGTTCCCAGACTGAAGGAATGCGTCGACAGAGAGGATTGATTCTCAAAGAACAATTATCACTCGTTAAAAAAAAATTTGAATGCTTCCTTAGAAACTGTTGACGGTCTTCATCCGTTGTTCCAACTTCATACAATTGAACCTATAATAAAAATACCAGATAGAGACAGCAACTGATGAAATAGAGAAAACAGAGAAAAAAACTTAAATTGGTGGTCGTCTCATTTGAATATAAAAAGAGGATACATTTCTCATCCAGAACTTTTTCAAATCTGTTAGACAACAGCATTCCACTACGGTCCAAAGTAAGGCAAAAAAAAAATATGTTAAAAACATATAAAAAATCTTTACTGTACGAAACTGGTCCAAAACTTTACGAACAGCCTCCATAGACAACCTTTCTGAGCCTTCTTTAAACAGGTAATTAATCAAGAAGCCAAACATTTCCCGAAATTCGGCAGAACGATTGCTAACAGTAAAAACATTCACCTCAAAGGCATTTGACCTCGACAACACATACTCAATAAGCTGATCCACATTTGGAAAAATGGACTTCTGAAAATTATTCTGCTCAATTCATACCAGTTCCTCAGTCCTTACCAAAATCAGGGTAATAAAGAACGAATATTAGAATAACAGCACGCGAAAATGGTTTCAAAGAATTAAAATTTACTATAACTATTAAAGTATCCTACTTTTTAGCATGACTCTGTTCTTCTAGGACTTTTTTCTCCTTCCCGCAACCTATCAGGATGATATAAATACAATACTTTTTTCCTGACACTACTTCTTTAAAATACTTGCTCATTCGTGGCAAGATGTCTTGCCCTTCGCATACAAGAATTCTCTACTCATTTCCCTGCCAGAAACCTATTTCTGAACCACACAAACAACTCTTTTTACCAAGTCTATTATCTTATTTTACTTACTTTATATCACGGCCACAGCACATCGCACAATTTTTCAAGATTGCTTGCTTGTTAAGAAAAAAGAAAACAGCTTCTAACACTAAGACTTCAAATGATCTTCATTCTTAAGGACATTCTTCAGCAAAGTACCTAACCGCCATAAGCCATTTTTTAAACCATCAAAAATTAATAATAAAAGGAAAAACTAATTTCCAGAATGATGAAGCGAGAGAAGGGAACTTATAAGCAAATTATTTTTTGGAAAACAACACTGCAAAAAAATGCGCAACGTTTTAAGTAAACGAAAAATGATCCTGAGCTCTTGTCTACGAGAATGGTTTCCTCATTCGGCTGAAAAATGAAATAAGGAATATAAGAAGCAAGCGACCGAGAAGTGCAAAAAAGAACACGTCAAAACTTACTGCTAGTAAAAAACGCACGCACACCGAAAAAGTCAATTTTCTTGTCACCTTCCAGATATTTTTAAACCAAAACCATAAAGTCGTGAAAAAGTCTGCATCAAAGCCATATACTTACTTACACGTGTTTAGAACGTATCGTTTTGCTGTATCTCAAATTGCCACACAAAGCAGAAGAAGTACATCATTCAACTATAGATAAGTGAAAGAAACCTGTGGAGTTCTGACTAGTTCACCAAACAGGGCCTTGAAATCAAGCGGACCAACTGCTGCCAATATATCGTCAATCAAACAAATCTTTTTAAGCTCATCCAGCAGCTCAAAGTCCGTAAATGATGGACGATCCGTCATCTAGAACCACAACCAATTAAAATAACGAGTAGCAATTTTCATGCTATACGATTAAAGAACGTGTAGAAACCTGAGGTTTTGGTACTTTCTGTTGCCGTGAGCGCCGTACTTTCCACTTTCACAGCAAACAACTTACTGCGCATGAACACTCGGCGTTTCTGGCAAGTGGCTCTTTCTCGTTTTTGGCTAGAATGATGTCTGCAAGGCAAGCAAAGATAAGAATAAGCTATAGCAGCTCAAATCACCTTAAGTGAGGCGTTTTTTAATGCCATTTTAAAAAAGGAAAAAATTCTGACACATGGATAACAAAATTACAGCTGAAAAAAATAAAAACTTTTTCGCTTACAGTAGCATAATAACGGAAAATAATATTAGAAATCAAATGAACATGGAGTAGCGTTGTATCTCGTCTTATGAAAGTATGCTGAGATGACAGTATGGATAAAAATTGCTGTACTTAAGAGTACTAAAAAAGAAAAAATTTTCATTCCTTTCTGCATCAACATACCCCTTAAAAACTAACATTTAGCGCGTAAAACATTCAGGCATTTCAAAACAGTTAGCAAGTATCAATCAGTCAGCAAACAGTTAAGCCCAAAGAAGGATAGCAGTTGATCAGGAACGACACCACTAAATGCTAACTAAAAAACCAACTGCTTTGGATGATTCCGCTGGCACCTTTCTCATTAATCATTTGATCTCAATTCTAACATTCTTTACATGGTTGCATAAAAGTTGCATTTTTATAAGTACTAATTAGCTTCACCTGTGATAAACCTCGGAATTTGCAGGGCTTTGTCAAACTTCTCCAAGCAAAGATTAGTACTCTTACACCGCTGTAGATGCCACGCACCACTCAAACTGCCCGGTCTAGACATTTGCATATATCTCGTTTTTACCTTGCCGCTAAATACGTAGTTGATACTGCTCACTGTCTGCATCATATAAATAGAAATCCATCCTCTTATTCGACAAACATCACTCCAGTGGTAAATCATCATTGTTCCCACCAAAAATATTTTTGACCTCGTTTTCATCTGTAACTGACTCACTAAAGTGCGAGCATCCTGACTGACGATGAGTTCTAGAGCACTGAAGGAACAAATGCAGCCCTTAGATTTGCATGCAGACACCAGTCACTAGTAGAGAGGCTCAGAAATGGGAGTGGTAAAAGAACTGAATTAAACTGCATAAGTGAAGGATACATTTTATCAGGCTACTAGAGATGGCGGCTTGATTTTAAGTTCTGCTTCAATCTGATCTAAAGCATAACTGGTAAGCGCAGCTCACAAGCAGTCAAAGTATGCAACAACATCTTCTATAACTTCTAGTTTTTTTTCATGGTTACTCAGCTTTTGACAACTTTGACCTACTTAAATACGACACAAGCATCAAAAGAAAAAAGATTAGGGAGTGAAAGAATAGCGACCTTTAGAGCCCATCAATATCTTTTCACAATGTTTTCTAAGGAAAAGAAAAAAGCTGAAGCAATCACTTTAATCTAGCTGCAGAGACCAAGTTCGAGGTTTCCGTGGCAGTTCCACGGCGAGAACTGCAATTCCATCAGGTTACTTACAAGGTACAAACACATACACGGTGACACATCCCTTTCTTATTTATTTTTGGCTAAACCAACCGGAAGTAGCTTACCTGCCGCTTCAGATACACTTTATGCATTTCCAGCTAATCACTGAAAATCCTGCCAACGCAAAAATACTGCCAAAGAAATTATAATTTTTTTGAACTGAGGTCTGATTTTCCATCGTCAATCTGTTTTTAAGAGGCTGAACATTTCCTTTCAGCAACTAGTTCCGTCGAACTTCATCGGTCCTCTTCAGGCATTTTAAAATTAACTTTGCGATTCGCTATAGCGGAATAAGCTTTGGTTGGGTGTATTCCAACTAATCGTTGTTTCGTGCGTTATATGCTTTCACTTTTTATGAGAGATTAACTTCAGAAGATTAACTTTGGTACAAAGCTGTCTATTTGTCTCTTCCTAGAGGTAGTACATTTCACGCGTTTTTTCGCGCTTGCTTGCTGCCTTTGGTGACGAGTAGGAGCGTCTTTTGTGGAATCATTGGTGGATCACCTAGACGTGATATCCAGACTGCTTCTAAAAGGTTTTTAGCGCATTTATTGCGGCTGAATGACAAAATATGACTGATGAAATGGTGATCTAAGCAATAAGTAAATCCTCTCTAGCTACCGCTCAGGATGACAAATACAACCGTAAGTGTTTGGAACTATCGCTATTAGTATCGCCTGGTTGAGTGACATTAAGGTAACACTGGCACTTAGTGGTAGCTAGAAGGTAAGTAGTAATAATTTGATGGTTCAACTTGGGAGTTAACCGTAGACTTCGGTAATTACGCCCTTATCTCATATCGATTAAATGGTGACGTCATTTATGACAAACAGATTTCAATGAAAACTGCTCGTAAGTAATATGACCATATATGCAGTATATACAAGTTACATGGTAAACTCAAGTTATCGCAGGTAAATGTGCCTCACAAAATATCTCAATTCAAGAAATTGAGGGGATATTAGACTGAATCGCTGTTGAAGTTGGAAGCAAGCTTACGCGTACGTACTAGGTGTTCTTAGTGACCGCAACAAGAAAGTGACTACTGATACAGGCACCGATGACCTGTACAAGATTCAGTTTCATCCGATGTGAACCTCTGACTGTATCGTTGTCACTGATCTTTAGTGGCATAACCCTTGTGTATGATCACAAGAGGAGGCAATGATTGCACCTTGCGTCTTCGTAAGTACAGTAAAATAACCTTTTTTCAATCACTATCACTGAGCTCGAAAATTAACTGCGTATGCAAAGGGGCTTCCAAAATCGGGTCTAAATGACTGGAAAATCTTGGTCTCACGCAAAGTATCCCAAGTAGATTACAAATCACATTTCGAAGAACGTATTTGTTTGCCATCAAGGTCAGTAAGTAAGTGCAGTAAAAGTACCAAACATAACAATTATAAAGAAGGACACAAAGAACGTTTTTATATTAAATGCTCAATTTTCCTAAATTTAAGTATATCTTAAAGCTAGACGCAGAATAATGAAGTTCAAGCTTTTTCCACTTTAGTGAATTACTGAATTAAGTTATAGGTGGAGAAGCCTACAGTAAACGGAAGGAGCTAGACAGAATTAATAACTCTAAAAATTTTATCTTTCTAGGGGAGGTAGCTTTAGCGAAGAAAATTCAGGTTTTGGTCCCAGAAAGCCGGAACAGTTTTAACGGGAGGACATTTGAGTATTGGTTGCATCCTCAACAAGGAGCTTAAAAAAAATTATCTATACAAGTGAAGGACGTCAGTTTGCCAGTACAAGAAATTTATCTAAAGTAGCTTACTGTCACACCTTATATTTTCCGACTGGTAGCAGCATGGTTGCTTGGATTCTTCTGGCCGGATGGAAATTACCACACTTTGTTAACTTACAAGGAGTTTTCATTACAACTTTTGAAAGTAGTTTACAGCAACCTGCAATTATACCAATAACGGTTGACAAATCTTGGATCAGTTCTTGAAAAGATGGCTTTTTTTGTTGGATGAACTTGGACCAGTTTAACAGGTGTCTCGGCCAAACTGGTTAGAATACTTTGCGTACATCAGACTAATTAGAAAAGAAGAAGGAGGAAATGTGGAGCGGAACTTATTTCGCTGGCTGCTTCAATAATGTTACGGTTGTGTCTGTAATCCAAGCTTATGTTCCAGTGAAAAACGCTTAGAAAGTGTCTTTCTTAGGCAGCGAGATTAAAAGAGGTTGAGAAGCTCAGATTCACATTTTCGTAAACTTCGTACTCACAGGTTT